ATTATTTATTATTTAGGTATCAAAATTTAACATGAATTTACACGAATTGTTCTGAATTCTAGACATTAATGATACATATGCACTCCTCCTTTTCTACACAAACATAACAAAAGCCAGCACATATACAACATACGCGCCATACACTCATTTGGGAGTACATTCCTTCTGATTTTCCGATTTCTCTTTCCTTTCTTCCTCTCACCCCTTGTCTCCTCCCTTCAGCATGCCAGGACGACGTGAGCGTGGAAGGCGGCGGCGGGTGCGGCTCCCCTGGCGCATGCGCAGGAGACCAGGCCTTCTCGTCCAAGTGCGCCATGAGACACATCCTGGTCCTGATGGGCTTCCTAGGCATTGTCAACATCTACATGCTTCAGCTGAATCTCCTGGTGGCGCTGCCGGTCATGGTCAACCACACGGCGCTCGACGGGAAGGACTACGCCCCGAGTATGGGCTTCCAGCCGGTGATAATGGCGGACGGGCCCATGGGGTCGCGGGGGAGTGAGCCCAACAACGGCTCAGCCTCCGACGCCAGCGCGAGGCCTCCCGGCCGGAACGTCATCGGCCACGGCGACGTCCTGAGAACCGGGAAAGTCGCCGGCATCTACCACACGGTCAAGGGCGAGGACGTGCCTCCGGAAGTAAGGTACGGCGAGCCTGCCATTGATGAGCTGTTAGATCAGATGGACAAGACGGCAGCATCCGCCTCCCTAGCCGTTGGGGGGGACGAGGTGATCACCGTCGTCCCTCTTGACACGGACGCGCTCAACCCCTCTGATGAGCTGTTCGCCGAAACCACGGTGCTCGCTGATGATTCTGTAGATTCCATTACAGATGTCATGCCAAGCGACTTCGCCTCAACAGTTCCTTCTGTTGCTACAAATGAGAAGAAAGAACCTCGTATGAGGACGTTTGACGATCTCGAAGAGGATGTTACTGAGAGCGCGAATGATGTCACGACAATAGAAGATGATGTTTTGCCTTTGCTAAAAGATCTTCCTTCGACTTCTCCTGATGGCTTTACTCTGAGGCCTCCCAGTGACGTAATAACTCCACCTGCACTAGTAAATACTCAAGGAACAACCCAGTTACGTTTGGAGGAAACCACAAGCATTTCCCCTGAAGAAGTGGCTGTTACCATCCTAAGTACATCAGCAGAATCAAACCCTCAGATTGAAGTCGTTACCTTGGAAGGCGTCACACCCACGGCCCTCCCCCGACATAGCACTCCCTTGTCAAACACTGAAGCAAAGACAACTTCATCAACTCAGAAATCTATAACTCCAGCCATCAAATCTACAACCCCAATCTCCAAATCTACAACTCCAGGCACTACTGATTCTACCAGTGCCACCCAAAGTTCTCTTGTTCCAACCAGCGCTGCTACAGTAGCTACTTCCCAACTCGATACAACTTCAACAGTCAGCACTCAGTCTACGACCCCACAAGCCATCCATGTAGCAGTTACAGTTCCTCTCAGTGCTGTTTCAACCAACTCACCCACAGAAAACACCCCAACAACCTCCTCTCAGCTTACAACAACGCAGATAGATGCGAAAACTTCAAAGGTACTTTCAGAGACGCCCCAGACCACTACAACAGAACAGAGTGATACAACAACACCATTCAGCATTCCTCCTCAAACTACTCTAAGTCAAACCGATACTACAACTCTCTCTGAAATTTCTTCAGACGCGCCCAAGACCTCTTCAACAGCTCAGAGCCCCATCGAGACGTCGTCAGGCATTCCTTCTCCGGCAGCGACAACAACCCAGAGAGCAACAACAGCTTCATCCAGTGCTCCTTCCCGGTCTGCTGTTCCAGGCGAGGCAACAACATCCCTTCATTTGGTATCTGAACAGACGACTACGACTCAAGCGAGTACTCAGAGCAACACTCCACCGCAAACTAGTTCTGGAACGACCCCCACCACACTAAGCAACCCAGTCACGCCCCAGTTCTCATCCTCTACTTCGGCCACGACCTTTGATGACGCGCCCAGCTCCTCTCCATCACCGGATGAGGCGAAGGAAATAAACAAGAGATCTGTCGATGACAAGCACCTCCTCTCCGAGAACAACAGCAACGAGAACCCTTGCACTGACACCGAGCACTGCCAGCCGGGCAAAGGGCACGACGAGCCCACGAAGAAGAAGGCGCCCGAAGATACGCCGGCGACGCAGGCAGAGACGGGGGCGCCGATTCAGGAAGAACCTCTGACTCAAGGGGAACCCGTGACTCACAAAGAACCTCTGGAGGGCGTGCAGGACGTCACGGCGGAAGCGGGCGACGGCAATGTTACCCTCGACGACGGCAACATCTCCCAAGGAGACAACTTATCCCTTGCTGATGGCAACACAACTCTTGTCGACAGTAATTTCACCCTCGCCGACAACTCCACCTTCGCCGATGGCAACTCCACCTTCGCCGATGGCAACTCCACCTTCGCCGATGGCAACTCCACCTTCGCCGATGGCAACTCCACCTTCGCCGATGACAACTCCACCTTCGCCGATGGCAACTCCACCTTCGCCGATGGCAACTCTATCTTCGCCGATGGCAACTCCACCTTCGCCGATGGCAACTCTATCTTCGCTGATGGCAACTCCACCTTCGCCGATGGCAACTCCACCTTCGCCTATGGCAACTTCACCTTCGCCGACGGCAACTCCACCCTCTTGGACGAAGACCTCAGCTACGAGTGGATGCTCTCCGCGGAATTGGACGACGGCAACAACGATGCGAACTTCACTGACAGCAGTTCTTCTTCGTCCTCCAGCTCCTCGTCCTCCAGCTCCTCCTCGAGCGAGTCCCTGGAGAGCCTCGAGGGAGGATCGTCGTCGTCGAGCGAGGAGGACAGCGACGAGAGCGACGAGAACTCGAGCAACGAAGGGCGAGAGTACTTCTCGGGCGAGGTGTTCGACGCGGCGCTCAACGGCAGCGGCGCCTGGAGGACGGACGAGGACGGCCGCTGGTACAGACTCCGTCATCGCAACGAGTCTGAGGAGAGCGACGAGGACGAGTCCCTTGAGGACGACGATGACGACGACGAGGATGAGGACGACGACGATGAAGATGAGGACGACGACGACGACGATGAAGATGAAGAGGATGAGGATGAGGACGAAGATGAAGATGGAGAGGAGGAAGACGAAGGGGAGGAAGATGAGGAGACGGTAAATTGAATCTTATTTTTGATGTTGCAATACAAAAAAAAAAAAAAAAAAAAATCCTCTACAGCTTTTGCGATGCCAGTATTGTTGGTTGTAATTATGGAAATGGAATGATGGAAACTTATAAATGAAAGCAAGGTTAGAAACACAAATAACAAACAGAAGCAATCACATAACTAGAATAACTATAACAATAACACTCAATATCGCCAAGGTACAATTAATGACAATGATAATGATATTGTCATAGCCGTATTGATGATAGTGGTAATGATGATAATAAAAATGATAATAATAATAATAACAATAATGATAACAATAATAATTGATAATAATAGCAACAATAATAATAATGATAATAATGATAATGATAATAATAGCCACAATAATGATAATGATAATAGCAACAATAATAATAAAGATAATGACAATATTGATAATAACAGCAACAACAATAATAGCGGTAGCAGTAATAACAACGACCACCATCGCCTTCCCTTCCCAGGAAAAAGAGAGTTCAAACGGGGAGATCAGACTGGCCGGCTACAAGATCCCGTCGACGGTGTGCTTCGAGCCCAGGATGGTGGACCGAACCAGCGTGGCCGAGGTAAAGGACTACCGCTTTTTAGGGAGTGGGAGAGATAAAGGGGAAGAGAGAGAGAGAGAGAGAGAGAGAGAGGGAGAGAGAGGGAGAGAGAGAGAGAGAGACAGAGAGAGAGAGAGAGAGAGACAGGGAGAGAAAGAGAGACAGGGAGAGGGAGAGAGAGAGAGGGGGGGGGGAAGGGAGAGAGATAAATAGATAGAAACATAGATAGATAGATAGAGAGAGAGAGGGAGGGGAGAGAGAGAGAGAGAGAAAGGGGGGGGGGAGAGAGGGAGAGGAAAGAGAGCAAGAGAGAGATATAAATAGATAGATAGATAGAGAGAGAGAGAGGGAAGGGAGGGAGGGAGGGATAAAGAGGAAGAGAGAGAAAATTAGTTGTTGCGAAGGTACACTGGTTGTTCGTTTGTTTGTTTGTTTTTATTTTTTCATGTTCGTTAATAAGAATAGAAATATGTAGGGAACAGGAAAACAGGAAGACGAAAGATGAATAAAGAAAGAGAAGGCAGAACGAAAGAATGTGTTTCAAGGACAGAATGATTAGTAAGCCAACGTAAGAGCTGTTATTCGGTATCATTATTATTGTATAGGAGGTGAGAGAGAAGGATAGACAGAGGAAGAGGAAGAGGTTTAACAGACAATAAGAGACAGACATAGTGGGAGGAAAAAAGGTGCAAGAGAGAGTTTGCGTTTCGAAACCAGAATGCATTTGATATATATATATATATATATATATATATATATATATATATATAGAGAGAGAGAGAGAGAGAGAGAGAGAGAGAGAGAGAGAGAGAGAGAGAGAGAGAGAGAGAGAGAGAGAGAGAGAGAGAGTGGGGAAGAGAACGAGAACAATTAACTTCCTAACCCAATGAAACAGTGAATAAAAAATCCAGTATCCCTCTTAAATGTGTACTTCTCCCTTTGCCCAATACTTCCCCCAGGTTTAAATATCCCCTCCCTTTTTTTAATAACACCGCCTCTTACTTCATACCCCAATCTTTTTCTTTTTAAATGCCTCTCCCCCCTCCCCCCACCAAAAAAAAACACCATTCCTTAAAGTATCTTACCCCTCTTTTAGAATACCCCCTCTTTTTAAATACCCCCCCCCCCCCTCGCATCCCTTCCGTTAAAGATTCCCTCCCCATCCCTCGTTTAAACCCCCCCCCCTTCCTACCCTGCTTTAAAATACCCCATCTTACCCCTTTTCTTGATATACCCCCAGCCTTAAAACCCCACCCCTACCCACCCCTATTTTAATGTAACCCCCTCCCACCCCTCATTTAAAAAACCTCCCCCCCCCCACCCTATTAAAATACCTCCACCTCACTACTTTTTTTTTTTTAAATATCCACACTCCACCCCTTCCCATCCCGCCCCCCTTTAAATTAAGTACCCCTTTCTTAAAATCCCCCCTCCCCCCTCTCCCTCCCCCTCCCCCCCGACCTCGAAATCCGAGAATCCGAGCCGGCAGTAACACCGCACCAACGAAGACCGCTTTTCAGGACCACAGGGGCGGCGAGTTCAAGTGGGAGGCCGAGCTGCAGGCGCGGATCCGAGCTGGCTTCTCGTGGGGCTTCCTCCTGACGCAGCTGGTGGGCGGGAGGCTGGCCGGCATGATCGGGGGCAAACTCCTGTTCCTCATGGGCGCTTCCATGGCCGCGGTGCTCACTATCCTCACGCCCACGGCCGCCCACATCGGTCCGTATTGCCTCCTCGCTGCTCGCATCATGGTCGGCGCGGCGCAGGTACGTTGTGATGCTGATGATTATATGTATATATATATATATATATATATATATATATATATATATATATATATATATATATATATATATATATATATATGTATATATAATGCTGATGAAAATAATAATAATGATGATAAAGATAATAATAACAGTAATATTAATGATGATAGTAATAATAATAATAATAATAATAATAATAATAATTATAGTAATAATAATACTGATAATAGAAATGATATAGATAATGATAACGATAGTAATAATAATAATGATAATAATAACACTAATTATACAAATAATGAAAATGATAACGAGGATGATAATACCAACAGCAATAATAGTAATAATAATAACAATAATGATAATAATAATAATATTAATAATAATAATAATAATAATAATAATAAAAATAATAATAATAATAATAATAATAATAATAATAATAACAACAATAATAATAACAATAATGATAATAATAATAATAATAATAATAATAATAATAATAATAATAGAAATAAAAGTGATTATGTTAATAACAATGATGATATATCAACAATAACAACATTATTATCTTACTAATAATAACAACGATATCAGTAACGCTAATTAGGATGATATTAAAATTCTACGAGGATAACAAGAGGACAAGGAAATTAAATAGATGAATAAACAACTAAACAAACAAATAAACAAACAGAAAGAATTTGGGGAATTTGACTAATAATTAAAACAAAATTCTTCCCATCCCCGTTGCAGGGCGTGTGTGTCCCGGCCATGCAAGCAGTTTTGGCCCAGTGGGCGCCGCCGATGGACCGCACTGTCATGGTTGCGTACACGTACTCTGGTATGATGGGTTTTCTGTTAAATAATTTTCGTTTTTTCTTTTTCTTATTTTGATTGTCTTTATTTAGTCCGTTGCCTTATTTTCTTATTATTTTTTTATATATATATAATTACTTCATGTACAATTTCCAAACATTTTAGGAAAAGAAACGAAAAGCAATGAAATAGAGGAAAGCATCAGGAATCAGAGTCGCTAAATTCATCTTGAAAGAAAAGAAAGTAAAAAAATAAAAGAAAAAGATCTGAGCTTCATAAACTAAGCCACGCCCACCTCTCCCCTCGCCCCTCCCTCAGGCTTGGCCGTCGGCGCCGCGCTCGGAGGCCCAGTGTCGGAGTGGATGGTGACCGTGATCGGGTGGCGGGCGCTGTTCTACCTGCAGGGCGCCGTGGCTCTCGTGTGGTGCGTCCTGTGGCAGTTCCTGGTGGCGGAGAACCCTGCCAAACACCCACGCATCACCACGCAGGAGAAAACGCACATCACATCGAGTATTGGAGCACAGCACGCCTGGAGGGGACTGCCGGTGCCGTGGACCCATATATTCAGGTGGGTTTGCATGGGTGTTTGTGTGTGTTTGTGTGTGTAATAAATACCGTGTGCATTTTACTTTTTTCTTCTCTTCCTCCATTTATTTCCGCATTCATATTTGCACAATTCACTCACTCATCCTTACTCCACCTCCTCCTCTCTCCACCTCACAACAAGACAACATCCATTCAGCATCAACAATAATAATCAAATTTAATTTCGCCCCCCCCCCCAGATCTCGTTACGTCTTCGCTGTCGTCTTAGCTGAGTTAGGCTTCTCATGGGCGTGGTTCACCCTCCTCCACCACGCCCGCGAGTATGCAGTGACCGTGTTGCATGTCCCCGATTACCAGGTGAGAGCGTGGGCGTGGGCTTTGGGGGGAAGGGGGCGGGGGGGGATGAGGGGGATTAGTGGGGGAAGAAAGGTGTTGTGGAAGGGTGTTGGGGGGAGGTGTGTGTGTGTGTGTGTGTGTGTGTGTGTGTGTGTGTGTGTGTGTGTGTGTGTGTGTGTGTAAGTCTTACAGGGAGAGAGCTCTGAAAATATCCATAAAAGTATTTGTACGCATCCATTGCTTACCCCTCCCCCCCAAAAAAAAAATAAAAATAACC